ATTTATTTTGATAAGAAAAATAATATATGATTTTTGTACAAAAACTTTTCTTAATATTTATTATACTTTACAAAAATTTGTAAATATTAGATTTCTTTTATTAAGTTAAAATATTTTTTTTCTTTTGTTAAAACCTTTGTTTATATAATTAACAAAAACAAAAATAAATAATAATAACACTTAACAATTGCATTAGGTTAACATTTTTACTCACTTGTAAATAATCATGTGCATCTTACATACTTTTATTTCTCTTTGATTCTTATACATTGTTATATTTTATATTGAGAATGTGATTCGATTTGGTTGTAAATAATATTTGGACACTACTATTCTGATAAGTCTCATCCCCATTTGTAAATATTTGTATCCTCATCCCCATAATCATGTTGTAATAATTTAGGACTTTAAATTTCCGCATTTAAAAGCTTTCGAATTATGCCATGATAGACCTAGGGTTTGTATGTAAATAAAACCAACAAATAGTTTGACCTAAACACAAAGATAAATGCATGAAAATCAATACACAATTCACACTTGCACCTCTAGGGTAACCTCGCCTGTTGCCTCGGAAAAATGCAATCATGTCCCTCGAGTATGAGACACTCTAGAAAACGTCCCTTCGATAAACAAAGATCGTTAGTCCCTCGATGACCCTCGATGTTGCCTTCGATAAAACGATCTCGTCCCTTACAAAAATTGCTAGAACGTCTCACAAGTTGCCTTCAATGATTGTATACGATGACCCGCGCCCGTCCCGTTAACATCCTAACGCAAGGTTGTTCATCAAATACAATGGTGAAACAACACTGTTAAAAGGGTTAAAAACATAAGGAAAGATCTTTGAGTAAATTTAGGGGTAGACAACTCTTAGTTACTTGATCAAACTTTCAAAATACACTTGCCTACTTTCAAAATAGACATCACAACACAACTTTCAAAACAACTTTCAAAAATATTGAAACATCTTTTCAAAAAGACAAACACCCTTGTAAAACATTCGAGTAAAGAATTGTTACAACGGTTGCCTAGACAAGGCATCTTTTTCAAAACATTTTCAAAAATCACACACACAAAACACCATTTCAAACAATTGAAAATCAAGGCAAGTGATCTAAAACAAGTAACTAAGAGCCCATGGATAACCATGGATGAAAAGGGTGCTAGCACCTTCCCTTTTCATAATCTACCCCCCGAACCCACGAAAACATCTCAAAGGTTTTTCCTGTGCTTTTTAACCTTTCCTTAGGATAAATAAAAAGTCGGTGGCGACTCTTGCTAAACCGAACAAGTGCGAATACACACGGAAAACCTCAAGTCAGTTCTCCCACCGTATCACACTCTAGTTGTCTCATATTGTGATCCCGCTATTGTGCGTTTGGAAAGAGAAATTGACGGAATCAGAGAAGAGCAACAAGTTTTCAAGAGAGCATGGTTGAACAGAAGGCTGCCAATTAGTCAGTTCATAACATGCTAGAATTGATTCTTAACAAGTTATCTGCTCCAATGCCGTTTTCTTCTAGACCCTAGACTTTTAGGATTTATTTTTCCTTTTGCTCTGAACCTTAGGATTTCTTTGTTTGTTTCCTTTGTGTTTAATTTTTCTATCTGATGTTATCTTTTGACTTTTCTAATTAATATTTTGGTTTTTGTTTACTTCTTATTTTCGTTTTTACTTCTTATGTTTTTATGTTTTTCACACATAATTATCTTTTTGATTATGAAAAAAAGGGGAGTAAATAACTGAAATAATTTTGATTCTAATAATCAAATTCTCTTAAATAAGCTACTTACATTCTAACCAAGATAAACTCTTGTTTCTGTTAGAATTATTTTATTTTTTAGGAATCATGAACTCTGATTGAAATCAAAATCTGAAAGTGTTAAACAAATATTTTTTGTCTAATGTTTAGAAACCAGACTCTAAGAATTTGGGAATCAGACTCTGAGAAATTCAAGCTCACTTTTGAAATCAGAATCTGAAAAGATTAAGGTCATAATCAAGCATTGTGAAAACTGGAATAAGTTTTTATTAGCTCTGAGGACTCAAGATCTCAATTGACATGATTGGTATCAAGATTCAAGACTTTCAAGATCTAAATATCTTATCTATTGCAACCAGGGGGAGTTACCCAGACGGTTCATAAGCAGGATATCTAATATTCACCTAGTCTTAAATTCAGGGGGAGTTTTCATATAAAGGAAAAGCATTTCTTACCCTTCCTTTTCTGATACTTTTTCTGATTATGTACAAAATTGTATCATCAAAATACATAATTTTGTCATCATCAAAGAGGGAGAGATTGTTAGAATAAGATTTGGTTCTGCAATTATATCTCTAAGTTTTGATGATAACAAAGAGTATGTTTGTATGAACAATTTTGATACTCTAACGTTTATTATTTTGAATATTTAACAAACAGGTTCAGCTTTGATGAAAGGCATTGCCAAAGCATTAGAAGAGACCAAGTTCCGTTTTTGCGCTACACAAGTTTTGATGAACAATAGCAAACCACTTCAGAAGGCTCTGAAGTTGTGACTCTGATACGCGGTCTAAGAAATCAAGTTCTGAAGACCAAGTGCTGAAGACTCTGAAGACGATGTTTTGAAGACTCTGATGACGAAGTTTTAAAGACTTATATTTCTGAAGACAAAGGGATCTGAAGATCAAGTGCTGAAGATTCTGAAGACACAGTTCTGAAGACTTGAAGTTCTGAAGACCCAAGCTTATTTTCTTTCTTCTACTCATGCTCAGTCAGAAACCTCTGAAGATCAGAAGATAACGTAACGTTGTACAATAGTACATGGTACAAACAAATATTCCATTCCACTACCATGAAAGGATGGACGCGTCACACGATCTTGTCCCCCAAGTTATATCAAGCTGCCAGCTTTCTGGAAATTTTACAAATACCCTCTAATGGTTATAATATTTTATTGGCTATACAAAGGCTTGAAGACCAAAGAAACAAGCTTCTAATTCACGTTCTCACAAGACTGTTCATAAGCTTGTTATTTTCTAAAATCTATATTCTAAATTTACTGTTTACTATCAGCTTATGTAAAAGCAAATATATTGTAAACAAAATCTTATTCAAACTGTTGTTTGATAGTGCCTTAAGGGACCAGTTGGTCAGAATCCTTAAGAATTTTAAGATTTGTGTGTCTTAGAGGTTGTTTTTGAGTCACTTGCAGTTAACTTGTGCATTGTAATAATCTGTGAGATTATTAGATTAAGACCTTGTTTGATAAGGCAAAATCACTTTGGCGGGTGGACTTTAGCTTGATATTTTTTAAGTGAACTAGGATAAAAATATCTTGTTCTTTCCTTCTTGCATTTTTATTGTTATTATCAATAGTGAAGAAAAACTATTTTTGTGTTAAAATGAAATATTTTCAAAATAAATATTTTTGATTTAAAACTCAATTCAAACCCTCATTTCTTGAGTTTTTCACACATTCACCGTGTTTCTATTAAATAATTCACCGTGTTTCTATTAAATAACTCTCATGAGCTAAAGCCATGAAATTCTAAAGCATGTCAAATGTCAATATTGTGATTTTAATGTAGAGAAGTGAAATATGTATATCAATGTCTCAACAAAAACCAAAAAAGCATAGCCTTTACCGTGCATGTTTAATGCCAAGCGTGTGTCTTACCTATACCACTACTAGTCTACTACTACAACTGTTTCCATTATGAGTTTCCTCTAAAAGTACATAGATATAGTTACTGTTACTAGCTTCTATTTCACTTCATCACAACATGTTAATATAGTAATATGTGAATTTGATTTTTATTTTAACTTTATAGTAACATCCTATGACAAATGTCCGTTTGTAGTACCTTTTCTATCAGCCATTCCATTTTTTTCATTTCTTTTACTTTCACCTCCATTTCCATTTTAACACTAAAAGCCTTACAAAACCTGTTAAACACTTCTTCTTCATGCTACATTTTGCAAGGTACAAATTCTAACACTATCCTCTCTTTACTCCTCTTAGTGTACTTACTTGTTCTTCTACTTTTTCTCTTCCATTTTGTAGTTAACTGTTGTATGGTAGCTGGTGGTTTTCCACCAGCTGTTATTTATATAGCTTTTCAGTGCAGAGCATTTTTATCTGTTTGCAACAGTTCTTTGTGGCTGATTATAACCTCTGTAAGTTTTAACTGAAAACAATGTTTCAATTGAAGTGCAACATACTAAAAGTATGCATGGAAACATGTGTGTATTTGTCTCTATAAAATTCAGATGGTCCATTAGTTGCTCTTAAATCACTTGTAATAATAAAGAGTGTATATGACACCACAAGTTCAACCAAAATCTCCATGCTTCACTTGCATGGGTCATTTCTTTAGTATCATTTTTATCTAATCCATTCTTTAGTAAGACTTCAAATTGAATCAAATATTAATATTAGTAAGAATTGGAGGAGAAGCTGAGGGAAGCAAATAAAAGGATTGATGAGTTAACTGATGAGAATGCTTGTTTAACTAATGCTTTATTCTTCAAAGAGGAATCTGTCGCGGAGATACTTCGATGTAAACAAGAAGCAGATGCTGAGTTTAAGACACTGATGACAATGTTAGATTCAACAGAAAAGTAAAATGCATTCTTGAGATTCGAGTTTCACATGTTGGAGAAGGAACTCGAGATACGAAAGGAGGAGATAGACTATAGTCGTCAGTACCCGGACGCGTCACACAAACAATATCTCGAGAGTTCTAAAAAAGCCTCAGAGTTAACCGTCTCGTGATTCAAAGAAGGAAGAGTGAAACTGGAGTGGTGAGAAGAGAGGCAGATATGAGAAGAAAGAATTCAAATCCTACACGGCTATCCGAGGAGTGTATCGGCTTCATGAACAAACGTTAACGAGATTTGGACGAGAAAAACAAGGCACTAAAAAGAGTTTTAACCAAGAAAAACTCGTGTGAAACAGCTTCCAGGTTATCACATGCCGAGATTCTGCTTAGAAAGTTTTCTGAAAATCACACGTCCATGAAGCTAGCAAGGTATGATTCTGCGTCAAATGAACTTCCTTTAATGTCAAATTTTGACATTTCTAGTGATAAGGAGACACTTTCTTCTGGATCCTGGGAAAACGCACTTATTTCAGAACTCGAACATTTAAGAGTCTCGGAGGCTAAAACATACCAGAACAACAAAGCATTAGAAGTTCATCATGACATGTATTCGATGGAGAAAAGAGCTATAGTTTCAGTTGATACTCCGAAAGGAGGAAGATACTTATCTGATGTAACTAGAAGGGAGATAGTATCGGTTGAACAAGATTGTGGCCTTGGCAAGAGGAATAAAAAACCATTCGATTATCTTCAAATTGTTTTAAACGCCATGTTGGAGGAGAAACACATTTTGAAACGAAGTCTTGATGAACTATTTGATGACATGAAAATTGCGCTCGAGTGTATAAATCAATCAACTGCTTGCAAATCTGATATAACCCAAAAGTCAACGCATCCTGGAGAATCTGATTCTTTTCATGTTAAAGGTTTCAGTGGTTTTATTGAAGCAATTCATAGAATCATCAAGCTCATTGAAGGAATTGCTCCAAACTCTTTTATATGCAACAATGATCCAGATTGCTTGGAAGAGAAGCAAAATTTAGACGTATCGTCTCAATCACCTAAATCCAAATATTACTTTGTTCATGTTTTACGGAAGGTTTCAGACTTGAATCCACTTTTGCATTAACTTGTTCACACATGCAAAAATTTATTAACAGGGAGAGCTGATTTCGAAAACTTTGTCGAGGAAGTTGCATTTGCTTTGGAATGGAGCATTAACAATTGTGCTAACACCACAGATGCTTCAAATTGCAAGGGATAAGCTAAAGAAGCACTTAAACTCTTTTCTATCAGTAAATGAAAATCAAAACGATGTTGATGATAAACAATCATTCCGCACACCTTCAGTTGCATATCCAGCTGATCGGTCTGATGAGAGTAGTCAGTATGATTTCGTTGAAGAAAATAGAAAATTAAAAGATGATTTGGCAAATACAAAATCGGCAAAGAAAGACTTGTAAGTACAGTTTCTGTTAGTAGTTGAAGAGAGTAAGAACTTGACAAAACAGTGTCATGAAGCGCAAAATAGGATCGAAGTTTTAGAATCAGAAATAACGACATTGAAAGAATCGAAAGCCGTGGTTGAATAGCAGATTGAAAAACAGATGATGATAAACGAAGATCTTGACATGAAACTTACAATGGCTCTAGCAAAATTAAATAACATCTATCAGAAGTTTTTGTCGTTAGAATTTGAATTTGAGAATAAAAAGAGTTCGTGTGAGGAATTAGAAGCAGCATGTCTTTAGCTTCAACTACAGTTGAAAAGGTAAACAGGAAGAAAAAAAACTTCCTAACACCTTTCACCCTTTTTCGATTTCAAGCACTTTGCAATTTTCTTTTCTTTTGCTGGTTAAGAATCTGATTTTGTAAGCATAGTAACAGCATGCAAAGAAGGATTCTCCAAGAAATGGCAAATGCGAAGTGGATGGAAAAGATGTATCAAACTGTAAGAAATTTCTATGCTCTATTTCGCGAACAGTTATTATTGACTCCTAATAATAATAGATATTGTATGCATGTTGCTATCATCCTATGTCATATCAATTGTCGGTATTATCAATTTCATTTATATTTTCGTTTGAAGTTAACACTTACTCATCAAATCTCAATGGAAAAATCAGGGCTGGAAGATCACAACAGAAGCTAGCAGTGTCAAAAAAGTATCATCAACATTGGGAAGCAACTCAAGGCACTTGCTTCATCTAGTGTAACAGCAGTTTTAGACAAGGTTGCCTCCACAACTTGTTCTATGGACATTCCATCTCAAAAGAACTTATCAAACGATCTTCACTGTGGAACCATGTGCTAGCTGAGGATGATGTCAAAAATGAAAGAAAGTGAAAGTGGTGAAGATGCAGAGAGATCTCTGCTTGTTGAATCTGAAAAAGAAAGTGATTTGCAAACTCCTTGTGTCATGGTTAAAGGGTTGGAGCAAGAAATCTAGCAATTGTAGCGCATAGGAAATATGGAGGTTTTGATTTTCTGAGGAGACTGTTTACAAGAAGAAAGGGAGGAGTAAAGGAAGAAAGTTATTAGGCAAGGCATGATTGAGAAGGGAAATAAGCTGAAGCCATTCTATGAGAGGTTGTGTTGCAGATAGTATTTGCTTTGTTGAGTTTTCATATTAGACATTCGTACTAAGCTTGGTTTATAATACAGTTCTTGTGGGATGCGCCGAAAATATAACAAAAGAAATCATCCATCAGTTATTACCACTTGCTTATGTTATCAACATTGAACACCAAATAGCCAGTACATTGTACCTCAAATTCATTAACAGGCGAATGTTTGGTTCACCATCACGTTTAATCTAGAAACTTCAATTCATTGCTCCTTTGGCATGTGATACTGAGGTACAAAACTCATTATCAAAACATACACTAAATGTTTGGTTGAGCTACTCCTAAAGACAACATTCTGTAGACCATATTTTGATGATAAAAAACGAGTAAAAAAAGAGGCTCCAAATTGGAAGAAAATAACGCAATACCGCATTTGCTTAGCTTCAGACAATTGCAACTAATGCCACTTCAAAATCATCGATAATAACTAGAAAATGTCGTATATGATTGTAAGCAATGTGCATTTGTTCAGTTTAAGAGTATGATTTCAATATAATATTCAGGTCCTGTTTCATAGTTTGGATTGATTAAAGAAAAAATAGAATGAAATCAGACGCCATTGTAAAGATCACACTTATATGATTCTTATTATAAGATATAGAAGAATAAATAAAAAAGTTACTAAAACAACAACCGAAAACACTTTCCTCCGAAATAAATAAAAAAAATTAACGGTAAGATTTCTGGAACCTTGCACGAGCACCACGCCCACCAAACTTCTTGGGCTCACAACGCCTAGGATCAGCCACAAGCAAAGTTCTATCATAACTACAAAGGAGATCCTTGATCTCCTTTTTGCTCTGCTCATCCACATACTTCTGGTAGAAAGCAACAAGCGCCTTAGCAATGCTCTGCCTGATGGCGTAAATCTGAGAGGTGTGACCACCTCCCTTAACACGGATGCGCATGTCCACTCCGGCGAATCGGCTCTTCCCCAACAAGAGGATTGGTTCGAAGGCCTTGAAGCGAAGGATCTCTGGCTGGACCAACTCGATGGGGGCGCCGTTGATCTTGATCAAGCCACGGCCGCGCTTGCAGTAGGTGACGGCGACGGCGTTCTTCTTGCGGCCGAAACATTGGACTTGCTCGAGCTTCTCCATGGTGGCTTCTGAATAAACTAAACCCTAATTCTGCGAAACAGAGAACTTATATGAGAATAGGGCTTTGGGTTTTCTGTGTTATTTACCCTAATTGTGTTATTTATATATTGACTTTGATCAATTTTAAGAATAAATAAATTGTGTAATTATTTTAAGAAAATTACTACCTATTTACAATGTGTAAGGTATGGAGTCAAATTAAATTAGTTTATAAGATAAAATAATAATAAATACAACACAAATTATTGTTTGATTCGTTATTTAGATTTTAACAATTTTTTATTGATATTAGCAAAAAAAAATTTGTATGCTTCACTTTTTTTTTTAATAAATATTTATAATATGAGAAATTCTTGTGGTAGCGTACATAAAATCTTTTCTTAACACAGTTAATAGAAACAAGACAAATCATTTTGAATATGAGAGAGAAAATTTTAAATTTATTTTAATTTTAACTTTTTTTTAATTGGATTTATGGGTGGTTGTGATTATGAAAGAGAGAGAACATTTTAAATTTATTTTTTAATTAATTATAAATTTATTATTGATCGTGTGTAAAATTTTTTTTTATGCTCTTGTCTACGTAAGAATTTTTCTTATAATATTATATATTTTTGTTAAATTTTAAAAAAATATTTGAATTCAAAGTTATTTTGAATATTTTTATAAAAGTTATTTTAAAGTTATATTTTTTAAGATTTATGTGATTTTAATTTTTTAAAACTATTAAAAATTAATATTATGTTACCAGATGTAGGGTGAGAGGTGCCATTTTATATAAATTCTTTAGAGACTCTATCTCTAACCAATATGAAACTTGAGATTTTTTCAATACATCTCTTCTTCCAACACTATTGGGCCTCATGCGTGAATATAACATTGGTCTTCGTGCGTTAATATATATGGTGGATGCTTCATGATTTAATTGTAGGCTTTGATATTCTTCCGTTTAGGAACCAGAAATTGATGTTTCGACTTCTCAAAGGAACTAGGACTGAAGATTGTTGGATAACTGTTGTTCTTGAACAGTGGTTATGATCTCCTTTACGGTGGCACAAGGTGGACCTACATGGTTACCTCTTCAACGCTCGAGTTAGTTCAAGATTCAAGATGAGTATAGTCAAATTGGAGATCAAAGATTGTGTACCTTTTCATAATGTGTGAATTGTTTCATATGTTGGGTCGAGTAGAGTGGGCTTTTAATGGATTAGACCTTGGTCGATTGGCCATTTTGGCCGGTCCAAAACATTTTCCCCATGGCTTTCTCAGACGTTAAAGAAGTCGGGAAAAGCCTTAAGTAATTTATATTGGCCTTTAAGACGGGGTCTGGTGTGAAATGGAATTGGAATACTCTGAATTTTGTTAAAATGGTAGTGGGGATTAAGAGCATTAAAGGATTTTCAGTCTTAAGAACGCTTAGATACTGCTACCATTAGGTCAGCCTAATAATCTTGTCTAGGGAATGTTTTCCCTATTTAGGGCACTTAAGTGTCTTTGTCATTAAGCACTGTGTTGGTTGCCCGTGGATTGATATTTTACTCTAATATGAGACGTTAGGTTTTGATATGCTTCGTACATAAATTTTTGGATTTGTTTCCTAGTCTTCATTTGGCTCATTTGTGATTGTCTTTTTGCGTCATCGAATATCCTCTCCTTTGTTTAATCTAACCATTTGTATTGTGATTCTCTTTCCTCTTATCCAGGTATGTTGTCGAAGTTTCTTCTTTTTGTCATTTACATGGTTCGTCTTTATTGTCGACCTTCCACCGCTAACTCATTAAATATATTCATATGGAGAGGTGAAGATATTATTGATATAGCCGCTAGTCATGATTTAGATTATTCATGAACAAACCCTCGCTATTTAGGGGTCCTTTCAAAGCATGTCGTAAAGGAAGGGAAAATAGAGGTTCCCTTTGAAGTTGGGTTTTCTTAGGACTGGAAACTTTTGGTGATAATTGTAGTTAAAAGAGTATGCCATATGTTTGAGGGGTTTAAAGGGTATACCATATGTTCGAGGGGTGCTTCATCCCTTTTTACTCTTGCATCTTATATAAGTTAGGAGTATGGCTTCCTGTGACTACTTTTGAAAAGGGGGTACTGGATCATCTTTGCATTCCCTCATTGCAGCTTCATCCCAGTGCCTGGGCTTTTGCACAGTTTTTCCAATATTGGTCTGAGTATCAAGGAAAATGTATTTGGCTTCCGTAAATCTCTTCTTCCATCTTTTGAAATTAATTGACTTTTCTAGAGAAAAGGAAGTGGACTTATTTCTATCCACCATTTTAAAAACGATATTATTTCGCATTTATATTGATAGTTGGAAGTGCTTCAAAGAGCATTATTTTTTGGTTCCCCTTCCATTCCTCTCGCCCATAATGAATTTTGCATTGTTCCTTTTTCTTCTTCGGCCCTGTCGGTATGTTCATAGCAAATGAGGCGATTTTGGTCCTCAGCTCACTTCATTTGAAAATCTAAGGATTACTACATTCCTCATGAAACCCTCATCGATGTAGAAAAGGAGATAAATGAGACATTGCTTTCCCTTTTCAATTTAGAAATATGTTTCCATGACATTGTTGAGGCAATGTTTATGGAGGAGATGGAGAGACTTTTTAGTATCGTATATTCTCTTATTATTTTGAAATAAGTGTCTTTGATTATTACCTTATTGTTTAAACATGCGCTTTCTATAGATAATTTCAAAAATAAAGATCTAGCGGTTGGCAGCGTAGC